TCGGTGGATTGTAGGGTAATAAAGCACTTTATAAAGTTATAAATCTAGATCAGATAAAATCACACAAGGGAAAATTATTGCAGGAGTATAAAAACTAAATATAGAGAGAGATATTATTGACTATGGCAGCAGTGGTCAACCCTGTTCCTGGAGAGCCACCTTCCTGCAGATTTCAGTTGCTACTCATATCAAACACACCTGAACCAATTAATTAGGACCTGAACACCACGTGATAATTACAGGCAGGTGTGTTTGATATGGGTTGCAACTGAAATCTGCTGGAAGGTGGCTCTCCAGGAACAGGGTTGGCCACCCCTGGACTATGTCGACACAAGTGTGTGTTATTAATGGCAACAATCTGATCAGCTAATCTTGCTTTGCAGATTTAACAATAATTGATAATATGATCAATGCCTGTAAAAAGACGACCACTTACATTAAAAGACACCTATTATCACTTTTAAAAGGGGTTTAAACACAGTTGTGGGGTAACAGTGTGCAAATATTGTCAGCCTCTAAAGGTAAGAGTTAATTAATTTTACTTTTTAAAATTAATTTTACTTTTTATAATCACACTTCACATGTACATCTGCCTTTGTACATGTCATCAGAGATGAAAAGCCCCACTCATTAGTGACCACCTCTTTCTCATTACCATAAACAGCCCTAAGTGAGAAGCAGCCGTCCACCATTAGTGTTTTAGGATGCACAATTGAACACCGTCTACTTTAGCTGCGTCTCAATTGGCACACTATACACTATGCACTCATGCACTATGTACTTATGCACTAACACACTCAACAGCATAGTATATGACTGTAGTGTCGTCCTAAATGGAGCAATGTTTTTTTACTAAGCGGAAATTCAAACCGTTTCCCTGATGACGTTTGACAATTGCCAAATCAGTAAATTAAATGGCTAAACTATCAAAACTAATATATATAATTTACCTGCCATGAGTATAACCGCATTCACCATCGGAAGGCGCTATAATCCCTCTCGTAGGAGAATTTCGATTTCAACATCCAAAACAAATAAAGTTATCCAACATGTGTGCTCGATAGCTCCGCCCCTTCTGCCACGTGAGCGAACCTGAGGTCGTTAAGTGCGTGAAGTGTCCATCATTACACACTTCATTTTACTGGCTGAATGAGTGCATCATCCGGGTAATCAAAGTGCACTTATGATTTTTAGAGTTTTCAGTGTGAACACACTACTTACACTATTCATACTACAAAATGGCGTAGAATAGTGCATAAGTATGCGATTTGGGACGCAGCTAACGATTAACTTCATTTTTGAAAGTTTTTTTACAGAGATAATGTTAGAACCATTTTGAATCTGAAGCGTATGCATTTGTAGCTCCACCCTATTTGTAAAAAAGCTGTGCAGAATTTGAATTTAAAGCGACAGTCACCAAAATGGCACAGTTTAGATCAAAGCCTAAAAGGGGCAGATTTAAAGGGTTATAAATAAATATGTGTGTGGTATTTTGAGCTGAAAATTCACATACACACTGAAGGGACATCAAGGACTTATTTAACATATTTTAAAAGGGGGCATAATAGGCTACCTTTAAAATAAAAATATAAAAAAATTAAAGTTAAAGTATCTCAGTTCATTTTACCTCCTTACTAGTCAAATTTCGTATTTGAATGAACTTTCTGAGTTTATTTCTGAATGGCGCGCAACCCTGATATGAACACCCATTGTGTGCGGAGGACAATAGTGGATCTGCTGAACATGAATCATGTGTCAAGCTGCCAAATGTTGTGTCAAACTTTCCTCACAGCCTGCGTTGTCTGCAGACAATAATGGTTTGATTTTTCACGAGACCGTGATGGCATGACAACAATGATTGGGCGCTTTGTTAAACACAAACATGCAGGTTTGTATCCTAAGAAACACTAATTCAGTCCACTATTAATATGTTTTAGAATTAAAAAATAACATACTAATATTAAAACAAGGCAGCATGGTGGCTCAGTGGTTAGCACTGTCACCTCACAGCAAGAAGGTCGCTGGTTCGAGTCCCGACTGGGTCAGCATTTCAGTGTTCACCCTGTGTTGACGTGGGTTTCCTTTGGGTGCTCCAGTTTTCCCCACAATCTAAAGACATGTGCTTTAGGTGAACTGATGAACTAAATTGTCCGTAGACTGTGAAAGAGTGTGTATGGGTGTTTCCCAGTACTGGGTTGCAGCTGGAATGGCATCCTCTGTCAGTTCATTCCGCTCTGGTGCTGTGATGAATAAAGGGACTAAGCTGAAGGAAAATAAATGGATGAATATTATGAAACATTATTAATATACAAAACTTTCTGTTCATCAAACAATCATGAAAAGTAAACTGCATCAGTTTTCACACAAAAGAAAAAAAAACTTGAATATGACTGAGAAATAATAACAGTCAGGCTTGTGAAAGGGGTGGTTCTTTTTTCTCAAAAAGTGGACATTTTAAGCATTATTTTAGCTAAAGTAGATTGTCGGATGGTCATCATAACCAAAAAAAAGTTTATTTGAAAATTTATGGATAACAATAGCCAAAATAGTATTCAAATAAATTTTATTATGGGTTGCTTTTGGTGCTTCATACCTTTTCATTGGTCATTTTTTGTTTCAAATACAGGGTCCAAGATTTAGAATACAACTTACTTGTGAAATGTTCTCTCAATTAAAAAAAAAGAAAAAAAATAATAATAAATTAAAATAAAAAAAATGCTTGTTGCCCACCCTTCAGAGAAAAATTGAAAATACGGGAGAAATAATGGAAAATACCTTAAATAAGGGAGTCTCCCCGGAAAAACTTGAGGGTTGACAGGTATGGCTGGATGTTGAACTCATGATAAATAATAGTTTGCATTGGCCAAAACTGATTAGCTGAAGTCACACTGAAGCAACAGCCAACAGAGGATTCTGCTTGGTGTTAAAACATTTTTCGATGGGTTACTTTCACTATTTATGATGGTGTAGCAGTCAAAATAAGACAAATGAGCTCATGCATGGGACAAATTCTGGACGTTTATCAGCGAAGGGTGGGTCATAGTGGGTCATGAGCAATAGATTAATTTTACATTGATTTCTATAAGAAAATATTAATGAAAAAAACCAGCTTTGAACTGCAAGAATAAATGAAATTTTAAAATATTTACAAATACTAATGACCATATTTCTGACTTGATAGTCATTCGTTCATTTTTTATTCAGCTTAGTCCCTTTATTAACAGTGGAATGAACCACCAACTTATCCAGCATTTGTTTTACGCAGCGGATGCCCTTCCAGCGGCAACCTATCACTGGTGAAACACCCATAAACACTCATACACTACGGCTAATTTAGCTTACCCAATTCTACTATAGCGCATGTGTTTGGACATGTGGGGGAAACCGAAGCACCTGGACGAAACCCAGGCCAACATGGGGAAAACATGCAAAAACTTCACATAGAAATGCCAACTGACCCAGCCGAGGCTTGAACCTGCGAATTTCTTTCTGTGAGGCGTCAGCGCTACCCACTGTGCCACCGTGCCGCCACCTATAACAAACATGAATTGTTATATTGTCTTGTAAGTATTAAACCATACCTGCATGCTAACAGGATTCTTGACAACAAACAAGGAATATCTCTTGAAATTATACATTTCTTAATGTAAATATTTGCAAGCAATTGCAATACATAAATAAAAGTTATTATGAAAAGAGCCAAATCAAATCAAATCATTTTTATTGTCACATCATCCGCAGCACATGATGAGTGAAAAGCTTAGGCGCTGACTCCAGACAGTACAAAATACAAACAGTGCAAAATACAACAGCATAAAAAAAACAGGACAATGTGAAATTGACAGTGATATCTACAATGAATAGGTGTCCACATAGTTGTAGACAGTATTGTTTCAAGTATGGATTGGTTAAAGTGCAGTGGATGCTACATATCGATGGTGTGCAGTTCATCAGCCTGATAGTCTGAGGGAAGAAACTTTCCTTCAGCCGGCTAGTGCGTGACCGGATGCTGCGGAACCGTCTGCCGTTAAACAAAACAATATTTCCATATACTGTAGAAGTTAAGTGAGGGAGAGATCGTCACTAATGGGCGGAGCTTTCTCCCTCTGATAACACGTACAAAGGGAGAATGTCAATCAAAGTGTTTCTGCAGACTGCTTTTTATTTATTCATTTATTTTTCCCAACTTTTTTCATAGAAATGTTTAAAAAATGTACAAATATCACACATTTTAGAATATTGTTGTACATTTTGACAAACACTCTCAGAAATAAAGGTACGAGAGTTGTCACTGGGGTGGCACCTTTTCAAAAGGTACACATTTGTACTTGAAGGGTCCATATTAGTACCTCAAAAGTATATATTAAAACCTACAAATTTTAAGAGGAACACTTTTGTACTTTTTAGGTACTAATAAGTATTCTTGAGGTATTAATATGAACCTTTTAGGTATAAATTTGTACCTTTTGAAAAGGTAGCACCCCAGTGACTCTCGTACCTTTATTTCTGAGAGTGTAGAGAGAGAAGTAAGGATCTAAATGATTGTGACAATTATTGACCTCCAGATATATTTATGTATTTTAAAAAAATAGAAAAAAAAAAACAACCAACCAACACCAAACTGAAGGCCTGGTCATGATGTCAGATAAGTTGTCACTCAGCAGTGAAAAATGTAAAATTGAACTATCATCCAGTATGCACGGAGTATACATTTCCATATTTTCAAAGAGAGAGGCCAAATTTTAGAAAAGTGTTTGGAAGAACCTTTTAGACAGTGTCTAATTTGTTCCAGTTTTATGAAGTGAAAATCGTCATTAATCCACATGGAGTGAGTAGGTGGACCGGATGACTTCCACTGTAGTAGAAGAATACGGCGTCTGGCCAGGAGGGACACAAAAGCCACAAAAAGCCTGCTTTGTATCATAAGCAGTGAACTGAACAGTGCTGTTGTAGATACAGGTTTAATTGCTTGCTTTGTTTATGAAGTGTGATTATAAAAAGTAAGTTAATTAGTTGGCTATAGTCACTTAGTGTTGCCCCAAAAAAATTGTTTAAACCACTTATAAATGCGATAGTAGGTGCCCTTTAAAGTAAATGGTCATTGAATGTCTTTTTACAGTTACTAAATTGATCACATTTGTATTAATTATTAAATCAGCAGAGCAAGTTGATAAGTTTCCATTAATAATTAGTGGTGGAAAAAGTACTGAAAAAACCACACTCAAGTAAAAGTATCATTACTTGCCTTAAATGTAGTGAAAGTAGAGTAATAGTATCTGTTGTAAATATTACTCAAAGTATGAGTAAACAGTAGACCTTTCAAAAGTACTCAAGAGTTGTGAGTTATTACACTGTGAAAAGCTGATGATTTACATGTAATATGTGCGTGTGTGTGTGTGTAAACGTAAAATTCTGTAGTGCATCTATTGCCCAGCAGGACACACATAAGACGTTAATATTTGGTTAGATTTAGGTTGTATTGTCAGATGACCAAAATTCAATGTCTAGCCAGCATCTAAGCACAACCTTATTTTGATGTCAAAATCAGCATTAAATGAAATTGACATTTGATTGATTTTAGGTTGTGTTAGAAAGTGACCAAAATCCAAAGTCGAGTAAACATCTTAAAACAACGTCATATTGACGTCATATACTGACATTTATTCATCAGGTAGGGCGACCAAAATCCAACATCTGATAGATGGCATAGTGGTAACATCCACACAACGTCAAGCTGTAACATAATTAGATGTTGATATTTGGTTTGTTTTAAGTTGGACGTTGGACATTGATGTCAGCCTGACTTTGGGTTCTGACGTCAATTCGGTCATCATAGAGTTAACACCCATCATCTTCTTATCAGTGACATGCATCTAAACAGTCTCTGGGTGAAAGCGTGTAAAGATTTTTGACATCTTCTTGGACACTTTTAATGCTTTCAAACAGTTTGTTGCGATCATAAATCGCCCATGTCTTGAGGTAGTTCAATATGATGCGATTTACTTTCTATGTGCGATTTGATTGGACAGGAATCACAGGATTGATTTTTCAAATCCCCATAGACAAGAAAAAATAAAGTAGTGATGCAGGCTGAAGGAGTAAAAGTACGAATACTGCAGTAAAAATGTACTCAAGGGAAAGTAAAAGTACACGACAATTATCAGGATAATTCCTGAGAAAAAACTACTCAATTACAGTAATTTGAGTATTTGTAACATGTTACTTTACACCACTGTTAATAAAACACACTTGTGTTGCCATTCATCAATAATAGGTCTCTCTATATATAGTTTTTACAGCCTTGCTATAATTTTAGCTTGTGAGATTTTATCTGATCTAGATTTATAACTTTATAAAATCCCCCCAAACCCCCCTGTAATTCGCACCCAGGTTAAATTCACAAATAAGAAACCTAATTTTATGGTTTTGTTGACTGAAATGTGCTTATAAATTACCAATATCGGAGACTCTTTATACAAGAAAGCCCTTCGTACATAAAAAATGTGCAATTTTGTAATGTATTTAATTCATTTTTATATTTGTACATTTGTATAATTTGTTTATACGTTTACCTGGCATTTATATTTTTGGTCTTACTGTTATTCGTATTCTTTAAATAAGCTAATAATCACAAATCCATAAGAAGCTTGGAAAAAAGGAGCAGCTGGTTGATGTTCATGTTAGGTCATAAGGAACTTTTTGGCGCAGAAAAAAATTGTCAAAGGAGCCAAAATTATTTCCATTATCCAAAACTAAAGGTATTTTGATGGTCCCTTTAACACATTTTGTTGAATTCAAGTACACTGCATGCCAACTAGTTTTCTCATTAGATTATAAGTAGACTTTTAGGTAGGGGTTAGTGTAAGTTGACATGTACTTGCATACAGTCAGTTAAATGTCTGTTGAAGGAGCAGTATCGGCCGATATTAAGCAGACATAATACTTAAATGTGCCAAATGTGCACTAGGGACCATCAAAATAAAGACTTACCGAACTTAACGTAGGCTATTTGTTCAATATTCATACATAACAGGCAGGTAAAGAGATCTGCGTTTGATGTGATTAAGCTCGGTGTGTTTTGCTCGTGAAGTGATGACGCGTGGAGTGGGCGGGGCCGCGGAGGAAACAGACAAACTAAACAGAGTCGTGCTGGCTGACTGTATACACACACGCACACATTACGAAGAGCGCCGAACGACACAAACAAACACTTTATTTATGATTCTCAGAAGTGTCACTGCCTGCCTTTCCTCTACATGGCTTTTGTTTTGTTTGGTGTTTCGAGCTGGACGATGGCAGTTTGTTAGGAGCTGCGGTTGAAGAGAAAATCTGTCATTTTTCGTGACGGGTCGGAGGCACTGCGATGCCCTCTGATTTCACATCGCTTTTTAGCGCGGATATCGACCTCGATTCGCCCAAGTCACTCTACTCCAAAGGTAACCCACTTTTTGTTCACTTTCAAGACTCATACTTAAACTGTGTGCGCGCGCAGGCTGTGTTTCAAATCCTAGTGCGCTTCCTACCTAGACAGCATCACGCCCACTTTCCGAGTCAGCTCAGTCACCTAAGTAGTGTGCTCACTGGGAGTTTGAACAGCTAGTGTGTGTCGGTGCACTGTCAAGCAGTTTTGTTGTTAGTTTATAATAGTGTCCATGTGACAAGCGGTTAAATGGTGATCAAATAAGTGATCTTGTGTTTGTGTTGATATACAAACACATTGCATGAGTGTTTGCTTGAGGGGGCGGGGTGTGTAGTAACTTGCATCAGCATATCACTCTCAATTTGGTTTATAAATATCTGTAATGGAGTAAATGAATGAATGAATGAATGAATGAGTAATATTGAAGTTCATCAGACATGGTTAATAGACTATGGAGTCAGATTATTCTCAAAATAACATACAAAATAAAAATTGTAAACTCAAAACATGATTCATGAATACACACATTCAGTTTGGAAACTAAAAACACAATTCAAAAATACACAAATCCAAATATTTATGCAATTTACTTGTGAATTCACAAATTGTGTTTTGTATTAATGAAATGTTTTTTGCATTTGTGAATTGTGTTTTGAATTTACAAATCAGGTTTTGTACATGTGAATTGTGGAGTGGATGTATGAATTCTATTTTGTAAATGTGTTATTTTTAAGACACATCTGGCTCCATAATAGACCTCTTGATCGAGTTTGACAATGAACCTATCTGAAAACACTTTGTGATAAAGAAATAATAATTATGCAGGGTTCAACGCTAAGGATTTTTTGTACTGGTCTGATCGGGCCAGTGGTTCAGATTTTTACCTGCCCTGCCAAAATTTTCAATGGCCCCACCAAAAAAAAAGGAACTTAATAGCTATATTTTAGCCGCGTATTTTAAATAATGTGTCAAAAATAAAGTTTGTGAATCTACAATTTTAATACTTAAAAAAAAAGTATTAAAGTGTTATGCAAACAAAAAGATTAGTATGGAAAATGTAGAGGTATTTTATTACAGTTCGAAATTATTTAACAAAAGGTGGGCTGACTTGTTAATCTGACGGCAAACTGTGCAAAACATCACTTCATTTTTTTTGTCACGTTGTTCACATGTAAATGTCTGCTTCCAAAACATTAGAAACAGACATTTTCTTTTAGCATTATATTTTGATGTTGCCGCCATGTTGCTGTTTCTTCCCTGTTCTGGTTGTTACCAGGTTATGGAAACAAATTGCATGCTCAAAATATCAAATCAGATAAGAGGAACCTTAAAGCAATATGGTGTTTACTACATCACAGACAAGGTAGTGTTTGAAGACTTAAAAGCACAAACTTAAAATGCACGCAATTGACAAATAGCAGACAAATTGAATGTTAGTGACAAGGCAGCACTGTCCCAATCGGGCCAGTAATGATCCTGTCTACTGTCCCAATTGTCTCTCACGCTGGCCCTGGGCCACCGGGCAGTCCTTATTGTTGAGCCCTGTTATGCATAATATATTGCCAGAAAAGAAAAAGAAGCAGCTTTAAACCAGCACATTTCAACCCTTGGTTTTGTTTAATTGTCCTCAAATGCTTTCTACGTGGTTTTTGTTCATGCTCTGTCTCGTTTGGTTATATGGAAATTGACTCTTCGTGGAAACTCTCATCATGGGTTGCACAGAGGTTTAGACAGTGATTGAAAGCAAAATAGAGGTCTAAAATGAGTGATCATTACATCTCTTGGAGAGAAAGCCAATGGTAATGTCAGTAATATTTAAGTTTGTATAAATGTATATAGTGTTTTTATACATTTTATTAAAAAGACATATATATAACAATATATAAACAATTTCTGTTTAACAGAGAGATTTTTTTCAACACATTTCTAAACATAATAGTTTTAATAACTCATTTCTAATAACTGATTTATTTTATTTTTGCCATGATGACAGTAAATAATATTTCACTAGGTATTTTTCAAGACACTTCTATACAGCTTAAAGTGACATTTGAAGGCTTAACTAGGTTAATTAGGTTAACAAGGCAGGTTAGGGTAATTAGGCAAGTTATTGAATTTAACTTGGGGTTAGGGTAGGGTAATTAGGCAAGTTATTAAAAATTGCTAATAATAGGGGCTAATAAAATTGTTCTTAAAATGATGTTTAAAAAATGTATTAACTGCTTTTATTCTAGCCAAAATAAAACAAATAAGACTTTCTCCAGAAGAAAAAATATTATCAGACATACTGTTAAAATTTCTTTGCTCTGTTAAACAATCAGTCAGTGAAATGGAATAAACACAACACATTTAATTTAAATATTTTCCCCAGCATTTTTTAAACCAGGCAACACAAAGATGCCAAAACTAGCACTGCACACCGGAGGTACTTTTATTGTTATGCTTCAGTTTGTGAGCCTGGTGGCTCAGTGCTTAGTGTCACCTCACAGCAAGAAGGTCACTGGTTCTAGGCCCAGCCGGGTCAGTTGGCATTTCTGTGTGGAGTATGCATGTCCTGTTGGAGTGGGTTTCCTCCGGGTGCTCCGGTTGCCCCCACAGTCCAGAGACATGCACTATAGGTAAATTGAATAAGCTAAATTGGCCGTAGTGTATGAGTGTGTATGGATATTTCCCAGTGCTGGGTTGCAGCTGGAAAAAGCATCCGCTGTGTAAAACATATGCTGGATAAGTTGGCGGTTCATTCTGCTGTGGCAACCTCTGATGAATAAAGGCCTTAAGCCGAAGGAAAATGAATGGATGAATGCATGAATGAATGAGTTTGCGAGCCGCATAACTTCCATGTATTTGTTATAATTTTTGCCCCATAACCAGTTGTTTCCAAGTTAGTCATTATCATTAAATCATCTTTGCAAAGAGGGCTTAAAAATCAAGCAGAGCTCCTCTGCAATGTCTTATGTAGCTTTAAATTGCGCAAGCTCTTTTTACAGCACTTTTACAGATCCAGGATCTGCCAAATCATGTTAGATCATTTAAGTAAGGTACTAAGAACGGACCCCTGGTCTGCATAACATTTAAACCAAATGCTTTTTGGAAAATGTGCAGTTCTGAGAACGTTCGAGGTTACAGAAGTAACCCTTCGTTCCCCGAGGAGGGGAACGGAAGTGCCATGAATGGGAGGATTCGGATCAGAAGCCGCTTATCTGGAGAGTATTGAACGGGCCAATGAATGAAATTAATTGGCAGCGTAAGCTTGCGCAGGTGTGCGACATCTGCAATTATCTCAGCATATAAGCACACCTGAAGCCAGCAGACGCCATCCTTTTAAGCTGAAGAGACTTTCAAACAGCTAAGGGACAGTCATTATGGCGACGGAATATGGCACTTCCGTTCCCCTCCTCGGGGAACGAAGGGTTACTTCTGTAACCTCGAACGTTCCCCTTCGGTTGGGGAACTTCAGTGCCATGAATGGGAGAATATGGAAAGCGCCATAATGACTGCACCTTACCAACACCCCCGATGAGGAGATAGTCAAGCAAGCGTGACGCACCCACATCATGGGGGGCGCGGTCCTCCAACGTGTCCCTGGCCCTAATTTATCCTACTTCAACAGAAGTTTTACGGATTTAGATATATTTTTTGGGAAGTCGTGAGCGTCTAGATAATTCTAGGAATACGACAGTACGCTGGGAAGCGTGCAATCCCGATAGGGAGGACGCTGCGGAGGCCATCCGTTACCCAAGGGGGGGATAGATGGCAGAATTTACCTATGGACTAGCCCTAAAAAGGGGGAGTACGCATAGCAAAAGAGTGGTTAGCGGAGAGGGAAGACACGGGTCCACCCAGGGGGGGGACTTAACCGTGGCGGAATAAGCATATGGGATCGCCTAGTGGGGATCACGCATAGCAGGCACCTATACCCAAAACGCGGGCTGACCAGCGGGCAGACCTACAACGTAGTGGGCCAGCAAGTGACTCCTCCGCTGAGTCAGTGCTGGGGGCCACGGAGGAATCTGCAGGGCTCACCTGACGGGGAACTTTACTGACAGATAAAAAAGGCGCACGTACCTCCGTGTTAGGGAGAATGGCGCCGCAAGCGTGTTTCAACACCCTACCGAGTTGTCTCCTCAATCACCAAAGGGTTACCTAATACCCTTGAGGAAACCGGCTCCACTCGCAGATTGTAAAACCTTGCAAATGTGTTGGGTGTCGCCCAGCCCGCAGCTCTACAGATGTCTGTTAGAGAGGCGCCGCGTGCACGCGCCCAAGAGGATGCAACGCTCCGAGTGGAGTGTGCACGAACTCCCGGGGGACACGGCTGACCTCGACTCGAATAAGCGAGTGAAATGGCATCCACAATCCAGTGGGATAATCTTTGTTTTGATACGGCACTTCCCTGCTGCCGACCGCCATAACAGACAAAGAGCTGCTCAGATGATCTAAAATTCTGAGTACGGTCCACATAAATGCGCAGAGCGCGAACTGGACAAATTAAAGAAAGGGCTGGGTCTGCCTCCTCCGGGGGCAGCGCTTGCAGGTTCACTACCTGATCTCTAAAGGGGGTGGTAGGAACCTTGGGCACATAACCGGGGCGGGGTCTCAGGATGACGTGAGAGTAATCCGGCCCGAATTCCAGGCACGAGTCACTGACCGAAAATGCCTCCAGGTCCCCGACCCTCTTGATGGAGGCCAACGCAACCAGCAGAGCTGTCTTCAGGGACAGAAATCTTAGAGATACTGATTCGAGTGGCTCAAAGGGATCGGATCGCAGACTCGTGAGAACGAGGGCGAGATCCCAAGAGGGCATGAGAGGGGGGCGAGATGGATTAATTCGCCTAGCACCCCTAAGGAACTGGATGACCAGGTTATGCTTTCCCACGGTGCCGCCAGCTACCGCGCTATGATAAGCGGAGATGGCGGCCACGTAAACCTTGAGAGTGGAGGGCGACAGCCTGCTGTCCAACTTCTCTTGAAGGAAAGAGAGCACAACACTAATCTGGCAATTTCGGGGGTCTTCTC